TCTCTATTCACACAACTGATTTTCATCATATTTAAAAAAAATAAATCATAAAATTAAATTTAAATAAAAACACATTTGTTGCAGTGGATAACTCAGGATTACGGTAAACTGATGTCGTTGTTTCTGACTCAAAAACTTCTATGTTGTTCAGTTTTTCATTGAATTTACATGATATTAAAGCTGTTTAGTGGTAACAATCTGTGGTAGCAGTAGGGAATTGTCCTTACTCGTGGTTCTTTAATTTGAGGAAATTGATACTGGAAAGTCCTGGAAAGGTCCTTGAATTTGATGTTGACCAAGGTGGGAACCCTGTTTTAAATTAAATCCTTTATATCTGTTTTTTGACAGTATGTCAGGGATGACACTCAGCTACTCCCACACCAAAGTGTAGCTAAATATCTGTAACACTGAGTTAGAAACATTTGGGTTTTGGCTGTGGCAGGTGAAAAAAATCTCTCTAAAGGCTTTCAAACACCACTTTTGTTTCTATATTTTATCTATTTGAGCAAAGCACATATTCAGAATGTATTTTGCTTTAGTAGTTTTATGTCATTTTCAAGTTTTTGTGTAACTTCAGATCAGTTTGGATTGGTTAACTATTACAAAAGATTCAAACTCTATTGGCTGTCCCTCAGGAAAACATCCGCTTCACATTTTTCAAAAAGTGCTTGGAAGGCGGGGACTGCTTTTTATTTACACGCCAGGTAGGTTTTTTTCACTGGACAGCTTCCCTGTTGGCTCAGGGCAGTCAGCGTGAAGGTCATGTGGACGTGACAAGGTGCAAAAAAAAAAGTGTGTCTGTAAAAAATTGACCAAACCATTGAAAACGTCTGTTACTCAAAGATAGTGTGGAGTCATTAGCACCCCGCCCTGTAAGTGTGTGTTGACATATTGAATCTAGCCCTGCTGCAGGGTTTAAAAGCCCAAAGGCATTCTTGATGCAGCACATTTGGACTCATTGTGTCCTGCCAGACAAGGGACAAAACAAACCAACTGATCTAATCTCTGTGTTTGTAAAACCCACAGCAGGAGCCTTCACCAAGCTAATCCACCCACAGAGGGATAGTGGCCTCCTTCAAAGGTCAGGAGTGGACCTGATCCAAGATCCTTCAGAGAAAAAAGGGGAACCTGACTCCGAGCAGGAAAAGAAGCAATTGTACCTCGCTGACAAGAGGAGCTGAGGGCAAGTTTCAGACACCCACCGGCTGGGAAACAGAGGCAAGATGCTGGCTAAAATCCTTCAGGACATGTGGGTGGACCCTGAGGTGCTGGAGGCCCTGAACGAGGAGCAGAAGAGGATCCTCTTCCTGAAGATGAGAGAGGAGCAGGTGCGTCGCTGGAGAGTGCGAGAGGAGAAGGAGAAGAGGGAAGGATGGAGCAATGTCCGACCCAAGAAAGGTACTGTTCAAGATTGATTTCATCTGTCAGATGGAGACACCAATTCCGTCTCAAAGGGGACATAAAATAATAATAATGACACTCCAACAGAGACTCAGTTTTATCTGACAGTTACTCATCAGCATACAGAGTCATCACAAGTGACTGAAGTTATTTACCACATTTATTCAAGTATAATACATAAAATTAAATCCATAAAATCATCCTTAGAGTTGGGGGGTAGTATTATACTCAGATAAATATTTTTATTTTTGTATTTTAACTGAAATATCGGCTTCATTCACAAAATGCCTGAGTCCTTAAATGAGACCAAGACGTAAAAATCAGTTGAAACAAGCTCACCTCTGACACTCCTCTGTGCTTCAGAGCGAGATAATAACAGATCCAGGCAGGCGACATGATGTGAAAAAAGGGGGGGAAGTCGTCCTGCAGCTCAGTAATGATAACAAACTAATGACATTAGCATGTGAACGAGCCGCTCCTGGAACAACAACAAACACATGTTCGTCTGTAATGGCTGCCGTCTACCGGTGTTCTGAATAAAGATGTGACGTCCATGAACGATTCGCATCTTTTGAACAACTCTTTACAATGAACAATAGGAGAAGAATTGCGGGCAGTAACGAGCCATTTGTAGTTTTATTTCTTTATTTTTTCAAACTTAAATTGCTCCCGCTTTGCTTTTTCACGGAAAACAGGCAGAGTTGTGGTGTACAGAAGCTCACGGTGAAAGGGGGAGGGGGGTTTCCGCTTGACAAACACATGGTTCCACCCACGTGACGGGATGACGTCATTACGTACGGATTACGTGATGACGTATTTCCCTACGTGACGACGTAATACGTTCAAAATCTAACGGCTCTTTTGAACGGCTCTATGAAACAAATGGCTCCCCAAGATCCGGATCCGTTCAAAGAGCCATTTATCCCATCTCTAGTTCTGAAAAAGTTTGTATCTCTGAAAAAATGTTTCCCCACCAGAGGGGGCGCTCATGAGTAGTAAGTAATCTTTTCCCCCACAAGATGGTCCAAATCTCACGTGAAGTCTCTGACTTTTGTGTTGGTGCCTCCTGGTGGACTATGTGTAAAATGTCAGAATTCATATGATGCTGCTACAGCTGATATATATTTGTTGTCAAAATACCTTTTAGTACATATGTTGTTAAAATAAAATGAACAGTCCAATGATCATTTTACTGATACGTATAAAGACTGTAAAGGATGAAAAATCTTGAAGTCTGTATGAAATTGAAGGTAGTTTGAGGATTAATTTTTTTATGCACATAAATGTCACAAAAATGGCCTATTTCCTTTTGAACTTGGTTCAGCCTAAATGAAACAGGAAGTGACATCAAAGGGGAACTCCTTAATAAAAGAAACTCTCTGGTCTCTGTTTATTAAAACAATATTATTTAAACTTTAACTCTTCTTCATCTCTCTTTGATAGAGACTCAAATTAATCTAAAGAAACATCAGATTCTTCTCTACAGTCTGTGTTATCAGCTGTTGTAACAACGCTCTGTTCACATACAGACATTCATCTTTGACATCACTTCCTGTTACTTCACATGCAAATATCTCAACAACTGTTCATCTCAGCAGCGTGAAATTTCTTTTGCAATATGTTGTCAGTGTTATCTTTCCAAAAAAACATTCACATTTTTTATAAAAATTTGATGCCACTGCTAAAGCAGGTGTATAGTGGACTATAACACCGTTAGACGGTTTGTGTGTTAGATTTTTGAAGGGTTGTGCCTGTAAATGATGAGTATGCTCTGTTTTTTACATAGTTTTTTATTATTTTTTTATTTTAAAAAGTTTATTCATTTTCATTTCATTTAAAAAACAAACAAAAACATACTACACAAAACAAATAATACAAATCAAATAAAACAAAAGACATTTTTTTGGGCATATTGCCTGAAAGTATGAATTCCTCAAATGATTTATAAGGGTAGGGGGTTACAATTGCAGTTTTTCTTAAATTGGGAGGGCCGTGGTTCCAACCCCCCCTGAACCTGACTCCAGGAATTGCAGCAGGTTCAGGTTTAGCAAGAGAAGCACTCAGGTCTGTTTAGAGGAAACTGGACTGTCCAAACGTTGGGAGTGCTAATGAGGAAAAGATCAGCTGGAGTAGCGACATTAAACAGGGTTTCCTGGTAAATGTGACCTTGACTTTAACAGAGTCGTAAAGTAACTAAGTACAAATACTTTGTTACTGTACTTAAGTAGAATTTTTGGTTATCTGTACTTTACTTGAGTAATTATTTTTCTGCCTACTTTTTCTTCTACTTCTTACATTTTCTCAAAATTATCTGTACTTTCTACTCATTTTGTAAAAAGGCAAGATGTAGAAAGTCGTTACTTTTATTTCATTTTTGGTTGTCTTCATTCCAGCTTGTTATTATAAAAATTAAATACTAAATTGTGCCTCCTAGATATTGTGAATTTAATTGTGGTTGAATGAGAAGTATAAATATATACTGTATTACTTTGTACACAAACAAATCATGTCACACTCCAGCAGGACATAATCATTAAAATAAAAGGACTATACTTAAGAAATATTTGTATTTCATGAATTATATTATAACATTTGGCCGCAGCCCTCAGATAGATTTTCATTTTGGGGAAAAGGTTTGGGCACCCATGCATCCTAAATTTAAACTAATTATTTTAATAAAACAGTCATTTCTGCAGTTTTTGGGGGGAGGTCTCCTCCTACTAAATGTCCTTACAGAAGATCTAACTGCTCATTTTAAATCAATACTTTTACTTTTAATACTTAAG